TATATATAAAGAATACTAACATAAGGCAATATATCTATTGAATTTGTAGTCGTGTTTGAAGCCGTTTAATAAACTCGCAGGTCGTGTTTTATTAGGTCTAAAGCCACTCGCGCTGCGCGCTCGTGGCTTTAAACCTAATAAAACACTCCTGCTCGTTTTTTAAATAGTACATATATATATATATATATATATATATATATATATATATATATATATATATATATATATATATATATATATATATATATATATATATATATATATATATATATATATATATATATATATATATATATATAGGCGAATGTCAATAAGTATATTGAGTGTCGAATCATACGAATAGAGTGCTCGATACGAAAGTAGAGCAAATAAAAGACAAACTTGAGTTACTTCGTTTAAAACATTTATTCACGACAAATCAATATATATATATATATATATATCAATATATATATCATATAAATATATATCAATATATATATCATATAAATCAATATATATATATATATATATATATATATATATATATATATATATATATATATATATATATATATATATATATATATATATATATATATACAAAAATATCAGTCATTGTTAAAGGCCCATTTCCACTCAAGAAAAACTTCCAGACAGAATTTCTTTCTGCGGAAAATTTTCCTGAGTGGAAACTATATAGCCTTTAATCCGAGAAAAGAAGTGCAGGGAACAGGGACAGACGGCTAAGAAACAAATATGTTCCAAGAGCGTATGCCTTTCAATGTTTCCCATGCCATTTTCCTGAGCAGAAAGTAGCATTCTAAAGACCACAGAAACACAAATTTTTGGATGAGGCATGCATGACCATAAATTTCATGTGGAACATCATATTCCATCATTCTGTTTATACTGGCCTCGGTGCTAATAACCTCAAGGCTTTTAATCATCTGTAGTGACACACACATTATGCCTGAATTTCTTTTAGAGAGGATTTTTTTGAAACCCGGAATAGGGAATAATACGGAAACGTTTCGGTATGACGTCACTTTGCCAACATAAGTTCTGTATTTGCTGTGTTGGTGTAATGTACTCAGGTGAATAATGTTCTATAATAAGTAATGAGTTCTGTAATTAGCATATGCGCCATCCGTCCACGGGCCAGCGGCACGGCGTGCACGTATGCACGTGCATGTATAGCATCTCTGAATACGTTATGTACCTTGGGAACACGGGTTCAAGACATATTTCGCAATGGAAATATGGAAACAAATAGGCCTGTCCACAAGTTGCTCGACAACCTTTCCTTGTGTGAGAAACTTCTCTTCGAGCCGGCAACTTTTCTAGCTTTAGCATGCGCAACTATTTGGAATTTTTTCCTATAATTCAGCAATTTGTATAGGTAATCGCCAGCGGGTAATCGCATGCATGGGGCCGAGCAAATTTCAATTTAATTGCCCGAGTCGCGAAGTGACGAGGGTAACTTGTGAAACCTTGAAACCACGCGTGAAATTAAACCTTAATTTTACGAGGAACTGTGCGATTACTTGTTAATCATAACGGGCAAAATTTATTCGTAAGTAAATTGTGAACTTGTCAATTAAGTTCTTGATCCTCGAATGCCTCCATGTACATGTCTTCGCCAATGTTCCTTTATAATGCTGCCCATTTCTTAAATACTCCCACCCGTAAATTTGGGCTTTTTTTAGTGTTCGAGTTTTCGCTAGAAGTTTTTATGAGTTCTTCAATTTAAATTAATAACATCATTATCCGCAACGACAAAGCGAAAAGTCATTGTTTTTACTGCTATTTAAAACAAGAAACCTCCCGCGCTTGCGTCTCAGCCAATCAGGTACAAGTAACTTTGCCCTGAATTAAGAAATAATGCCCTCATGATCATTAGCCAATCATATTTGAGTAATTGAACGTCCAGCAAAGAGAAAGGCATCTACTACCTTGCCAGACTTAACCGAGGATTTCATGACAGCGGCCAATAGGGGAAGTGTAAAAAATACGCTCGACTTCGTCTCAGTTTTTATTCACAGATAATCACCTCGCCTTCGGCGAATAATTGTTAATTAATCTATTCTTGTGATTTTGTGTACATGTATCCATACCTATACATATACATATATACCGCGAAACTGCATGTAATAATAATAATAATAATAATAATAATAATAATAATAATAATAATAATAATAATAATAATAATAATAATAATAATAATAATAATAATAATAATAATAATAATAATAATACAATCACTTTAATATAGAACCTCAAAGTGTATTAAAAACAGTCAGATAGCATCTCTTTCTTCGAAAATCGTAATCTTATTTTAATTATTTTTAATTATTTTAATTACTTTGTGTTAACAAAGCCGGGCAAATTTTGCGTGTGAGAATCACATGTCAACTCAACAACTAGATCCAGTGTTCTAATTTTGAGGAGGTGGTACCTCTTCAATCACAATACGAGATATCGATTGATAACCAGTCCAAGCATCTCCCATGCTATGAACCTTGCACTTGCCAATCCAAAATCCCACACGTATGTGACCTTTAGGAAGCTTGTCACAGTAGCCTTCAATGTGCCGGTGACGTTGTGGGTATTCATGAGTTGATTTTCATGTAAACAACTTAACCCCTTCAATAGTTGCTGGTGTTGTACATTCTGCGCCATCAAATGAGAAGTACCATCGATGACATGCATAGTTTCCATAAGAAAGAAGATTTCCTTCGTAGAACACACGAAGAGAGGTGTTGTCATACTTCTTGTTAAAAATACAATTCTATATGGAGAAAAGTGAAAACGAGTTAATAGTAATAACAACATATAAGTAAATTGCCCAGAGGGTTGGAGGTGTATGGCCTTTCGGCAAATATTATAGGGATCGATTTTGGGACACTACATCCCATTTTACATTTTTAGACCTATAGCCAGGAGCAGTTGCGAACTAACATGAAGCCCTCTGGTAGGAATCAAACCTGCGGTCCTGCAATACCGGTGCAGCGCTCTAACCAAATTTCATATAATGGAGTAAAGCCAGTTATATATGCATGAATTAAATTGTGGTCAATGCTCAACAACTCATGACCTCTGCAGCTCATGTATGCAGTTTGTTAGAGCCTGCACTGGTTCGATTCCTTCCAGAGGGCCTATATACTGTTGTTGCATTTTTCGCAAATTCTTTTGCATGGTTAGAAATCTACCATGGTTAGAAATTCCATCTACAAAAACCCGCCTGCTAGGAGGAAGTGTGCGTTTCCTTCACCCACCAACTCAAATAATTTCAGGACCTACTGGTGCTTACGTAGATGATTTATGGACGTTTTGACCTGTATTGTAGGTCTGAGTACCTCTCAACTACTCAAGGGTACGGCCTAGAAAATCTTCCCTGCTTCACAGCCTATAGCTGTGCTGGAATATTTAGATCAAGAAAACAAGAGATTTCATTTATTGATGTCTGACAAGGCTAACCAATCCTAATTTTGTCACACCATACATGCTATTGAAATATACAGTTAGCATTAATTAGGTTACAACCGGGTTGTTAGAACCCAGTGCGAACAGTTAATTGCCGCCGTTCTGAATCTTTAAATCTTAAAAATAATCAAACCTGTATCAAGCCTTGTTTTTTGTGATCGTATCGTTTCCAAACACATTGTTTCCAATTGGACTTCACAAGATCTACATAATCATTTCCTCTCTCCCCAGGTTCTCCTTTTGCGCCAGCAGGACCACGTGACCCAGGCATGCCATCTCTTCTCCAGGATATCCTGGAACACCAGGGATACCCGGGATACCTGGAGAACCACAGTTCCCTTGAGAAGACTGATAAAAATAACAAGAATTTGTTTATAATGTAATATCCCTGGACGTACGGATCTAGAACGTAACAAAAGAACCG